GGGCCAACACAGATAGCTGATTTTTAAGGAGGCATATCACCCAATACCAATCCAATTTTCAATACAGCTGCGTGCAGTTGGCAAGTCTACTGTGGTGGAAAGGGAGGGGGCAGGGAAGAGGCATGGGGGTGCAGATTAATGTCGCCGCGCTGAGGGAGGGGGCAGGAGTGGGGCGGACGTAGGACAGAGCCGCAGCTGTCATGGGGGCAGCTCCCACCGCTGCTTGTGGGAGGGCATGGAGGGGAAGGGTGTGTGCCCTCTGGATCGGCATGGGGCAGGCAGGCTGGAGCCAGGGCTGTGCAGGGTTCTTCTCAGCAGGGGCTGGGTTTGGGGCAGGCTGCAGCCATTCCAAATTCTGCCATAGCCCTGTTCCCAGCACTGCTATCGCCTGCCCGGCGCAGCCCCGGCTCCAGCCCCCCCCCCCGCCCCCCCCCCCCCCCAGGGGCGGGGGGGGGGGGAGGGCACTCCCCCCATGCCCTCCCAGAGTGCAAGCAGCAGCAGGAGCTGCCCCCCCTACCCCCCCAAGCCTCCCGAATGAGCCACAGCTCCATCCCACGCCTGCCCCACCCTGGCTGGGCAGCACCTGCCCCTGCCCCCTCCATGCCCCTTCCCTTCTACCACAACAGACTTATCAGCTGCACAAAGCTCTGCACACTGCCAGGCTCTGCTTCTTGCTGCCTGCATGGTGCGTGCAGCTGCACATGCACCTGGGCATTTATCAGGCAAATTATCGGCCGCATTGGGCCAATTTCCAATACAGCCAATTTTCTTTATATTGGTACCAATCCCCTATCAGACTGATGTACCGGTGCACCTCTACATTTAAGGCTGGTGAAAAAACAGGACTCATTAAAAACAGGAAAAGAAAGGCACAGCTCAGCTGTGGTAGTAAAGAGAGAATCTAAACAAATTCAATGTAGTGGCTCACCAGGACTTGAAAAAGAGTGTGTGTTGGGGGGGGGACGGGGACAGGTTAAATTAAAAAAAAAAACAAACAAAAAACTTTGGATATTTTTTAAATTGGAGAAAACCAGGATCCCTGCTTATTAGCAGATGTCTACTCTTTAAAAATAAAATGTATCTGGGTACATGTTAGTTTAGTCCATTACAATAGAGAGTGAATTCTGCTTAATGCAAGTTACTGTATGTGATCCCTGAAGTTTACCATGTTCTATTTCAGTCCCCCTCCCACTACAGCAAGCACAAAAGTAACTAAACAGGTCTACAGAGGAAACATTTGCAAACATAGCATGGTTGGTTAGGACCATGTTTTGGCAACACTTCTATAGGTTACAGCTTTTGCCGGTAAACAGACTGTTATATTGACAGAGAAGTATTTTTTTTGCAGCTTATTCTTCTTGGAGAACCAAGAGAAGCAGAGCAAAAAATGATCTATACCATACATTTGCCAGTATAACTAGACAAGTCTTGTTATTACTGGCCAGCCTCTTCTGGCATAAATCTGGCCTAAGAAAGCCAAGTTTAGAAAGGCACATTTTTTGCAAATTTAACTACATAGCACTGGAGTCCAAATATTTTATAGCAAGTTAAAACTGCATAAACTTCAATACTTAAAAGAGTTTATTTTCATCCTGGGCATATATGTATCAACTTCTTTGGAGCCCTGCACCCTGGAATTTTGCATGAACTAAACATGGACTTCTTCAAAGCAGGCAGCACCTAAAGCAGTGGTTCTCAACCTTTTTAGGCTCAAGGCACCACTCATAAAATGCCAGCTCTTCGTTTTCACTTGTTTTGACTACATAAAAATAGATAAATTATGCTATTGCAAAGCACTCAGAAAGACCACAACAGGTCAGAATTTTTTTTTTTTTTTTAAACACCATGGATTTTTATTTGAAATCTCTGGATTTAATCATGTGAATCATGTTTGCACACTCACCGGTGCTAACATTGCATGGCACCCCATGGTGCCCTTGAAAGGCTCCCTAAGGTGCCACAGCTCCAGATTCACTGGCCTGAGCACTGCTCCTGTGGTCCCCAAACCAACAGGACTCCCTGCACAGCTGCCCCCCAGGTCCCAGGCAGAGTGGTCAAACAGCAAGCTAACCCAGGCATAGGGGGGGGGAGGGGCAGGGGCAGAATCACTCCTGACCCATACTGCAGACAGTAGCTGCGGCAGCATGCAGATTCCTTCCTCCAACCAGCTCACAGGCAGAAGGGGAGATGAGGGAGTTAAGGGAGCCAGGGAGGGAAGAAGAAACCTGCATGCTGCCACTAGTGTCCCTGCCTGAGCCAGGCTCCTGGCACAGCTAGTCCCTGCAGCACTGAGCAACAGCAGGTCAGGAGTGGCTCTGGGGCTCTCCCTACACCCAGATCATCAGGGAAAAGCAAGGGGGGGGGAGTATTAAAATTTTCCATGTGTAGCACCTAATTATTGGGGAGAGAGGTCATCTTAAATTCAAAAGTCATTTGGATTGGAGTAAATATGGTAATACCCCTGCTTCCTCAAGCTGAAAATTCAAGTTTTGCATGGTGCTGCTGTTAGAATTTGACATGTCATGTGGCAAGATTCCCTACTACACCCTTCTCCATGTCACTTTTTCGTTTTTAAATTACGTGGTGAGGTACTTCTAACTTGGAACCATCTTCTGTACACAATTCCAGTTTCTTGAACCATGAACAAAAAGGGTTCCAATTGTGCTTGTCCATTTGGACCCCAACAGTTGATTTCCAAAGCTAAAAGGCTTTTAACTACCAATCAAAATAATCAGCAAGTTATATTAGTGCTAAAAATGTTATTAAATTGAAACAACAAAACAAAAAACCTACACATTTCAGCATGCAAAATGAGGGGAAACTCTCTGAACTGATTCCTGTTTCAAAGCACTGTATTTTCAGTTCTTTTAAACTAGGAAAAAAATATTACTGTTTGGGACTTCCCCCCCTATTATGGGCTTTGTACATTCCCTGGCTTGCATTTAGTCTTTTTGTGCTGTCCACTTGACACACACGTATTTAAAAGTCATATTATGACAGTGCAAACAAATTTGCCACTTATTTTCTTATTCAGTAGAAAGGAAAAGTGAGGCATGAAGCTTAAAAACCAGAAATATCACAACCTAGTATGAACTTCAGCTGCAGATCACTAGCAAAGAAAATTTTTACTTCTGGAGCAATACTGAAATATACAGACAAGACAGTCTCTACCCTAAATTATCCCAGTCTCCAAAGAACACCAACATTAAAAGAGGTGCAATTCTCCTCAGGATGAGTAGATGAGTTTGCTTTGGGGTTTGTTTGTTTTTTGGTATGTGTGTTTGTTTTTGTTTTATATTACAGTAAAAGCTTTGTTATCCAGGACCCATTGGGAATGGGGGTGCCAGATAACAAAATATGCTGGTTAATTGAGAGGCCCGAACAAGTCTTTGCCTATTTGGGCTGCCGCTTCTCCCGCCGCCCCTCCCGCAGCATTGCCAACCCTCCCATGGGCCCTGAGGGACAGGGAGATGGGCCCCGCACACCCTGCTCTGCCCCGTGCCATGGGGGTCCAGAGAAACCGGATGTGCCACAGTGGGCACCTCCGGTTTCATTTTACCTTACAAGACGGCATGCCAGTTAACAGAACATGCCAACTTCTAAGGTGCCAGTGAACAGAGCTTTTACTACATATGTACAAACTTAATTAACAGTAGTAAGAGTTTAAACATTTGCCTATCTGTATAACAGATTGTAGAAAAGTGGATTTTAAAGCAAATGTTTTAAACTAAAAGTAGTTCATAAGTAAACAAATGAAAGAGTAAGGCAACACTAAAGAGACAAAAGGAGCAAGGAGAAAGTTTGCTTTTTCTTAAAGAGAAAGTGTGTTTCAAGCTGATTTCTGAGGTGCCAGTCTCTACCATTCTAGCAGTGGTGCTTTAAAACTTGAAGACAGAACTTAGAGAAAATGCTGCTACAAAAATTCACAGCACCTAAAAAATGCTAAGGGATTCCCTTTTAGTAAATTTGTCAGTTTGGCCCATTCAAACAAAATAATTCTGCACACCTAAATGCAAAACCAGCATCCAGGAACAAACAACACATGGTAGGTACATGGGCTGATGGAATATAACCTGAAAGGCAAAGTCTTTGAAAAGATTCAGGGACCATTTATAAAGAAATATCCTGGCACAACGTTGAAGAAAAAATCCAATTTGATACTTGGATGCAGAAGCAGGAGTTGTGTGTAGATAGAGTAATTCTATGTTCTGGTGTCAAGATTTTTAATGAGCAAGTTGAAAAAAAGAGAGAGAGACTACACCAGAAACGACCATATACTTATTTGAGGGCTAGAGAAGGTAACTTATACTGAACCAGCATGACCTATTTGTCATATCAAAAAGATTGAGAAGTAACATACAGTGTTTAAGTACTTCCACACAGAGAAACATCCCAAGCACTAGAGGATACCTAGAGCCAAGTGAACAAGCAATGGTCAGATAAACTCAAACAGGAACAAGCAAAATTCTAACAGGGAAAGTAATTAAACTATACAAGCGGCAGGTTCTCCATCACTTGGCATCTTCAAAAAGAAGTTTATGCTTCTGTTCATCGCCAAACGACATCTATAATCACCTAGCTTATTCTAATGGTCCTTTAAGCTTAACTCCAACGTTTGTTGTTTTCTTGCAAGTCTCACAGATGCTTGACACTTCTGGAGCCCCAGCTTCTGAAGTCACAAGTGTCAGGTTTCATTTACACTTTAAATGTTAAAGTATCTACAGTACTCATCAACACAGAAAGAAACTTGAAAGTAAACTCCCTAAATGCTCAAAATTCAGATGACAATAAGGAGCAGCAAATTTAAAAGCATCATCTTTTGGGGGCCTTGATTTCTGAATGCATAGTTGTCAATGCTGAATACACAGATGCAAGAATTTTGGGGCCTGCTTCTCCTACCCTAGGAGCACTGTTAGAGATCAGTAATTACAAAAAAATAAATTAAAGAGGAAGTCTGCAATAATTAACAGCTGTCTAAAGCATCTGCTGATAACACCTACCTACTGTCTTGCAGCATGTGGTTAATGATTAGTTCTACTTTGCAGATTTCTTCAAGAAGCTCAGGTCAGGTAGCTGTTTGAAAGACAAGACATTTTGTTGATCATGTTATTTCACATGACAGCTAGATAGTTATCATCTACAGTTTTCTAACCTTCTTTTGCCTTTATCTGTCAGCAAGCTAGGAAGTAACTCAGCAAACCTCTATCAAAATCTTACCTGTCTACATTTGCAGATGCAAGCAGGTAAACAGAAGCCATCATACCAAACAAAACCAGTGATCCGAGGCATCACAGATGCTTCAGAAAAAACATGTGCTAGACCCTCAGCAACAGCTCTTTTGAACATAATATCCTACCAGATAAGTGCACTAAAAGCCAGATGAATCATCCAATCCAGTTTCTGCAGCATATAAATGCATAAACGTTACCTGCGCTTAAGATACAAATAATGACTGTTGATAATAAACCTTCACTAAACCCAAATTACAGGTTACTATGACATGAGCCAACGGTTTGACCTTAATACACCAGGCAAATGCAGTGGAAGGGAGTAATATCTTTACCTCCTCCAGCCTTGCTTACGTATTTCCATATTAAAGGAGGCAAAACTATTAATGGCACAGCCTAATACATGGTGGAACATACTGTATAGTGCATTAAGTCTTTTGAAGTTTACAAAAATTGATAATTACTGGTAATATAAAATAGCAAGAATCCTACAGAAGGTTCTAAGCCTAAAGAGTCAGCATATAAATCACCCTACTTGCTCTATGTTGCAAAAGCCACGGTGCAGAAACTCAAGCCATTATTAACCACCACATGGATTTGGAAAAAAATTCCCCCTCCCCCTTTAATGTGGAAAAAGTTGTTAACAAATTCAAGTGTGAATTTAAACAGTGTATGCTTCAATGGGAAAGTACTACCACAGATTTATTAAGTGCCAACACTGCTAAAAGCAACAAATACCAGCACAGTTAAAGTTAGTATGCCTCTTCAGGTTTTGACTACATAGCAACTCAGCTAACTACAGCTATGTTTAATACTCTACATTTCAGTTAAACTGCAAGTCTTGGAGCATGGCAGAAAAGGTTAAAGATTAACAAGAATATGGAAAGTGTTTCTGGACCCTTTGCTTCTTAGGAAGCTTAAGATTGGAAAATCAGCAGTGGATAAACATTGAACAATGACCTGACAAAAAAAACAAAACAGTGCAACTTTTGCATTTCAAAGTGTTGCCTCTCATGCTATTGCAGCTTTACATCCAGGTTTCCTCAGGTTCCTTCCACTGACTGGCTTTGCAGATTAACTTTCAAAGCTAAAAGAATAGCTGTTATTTCATGTACGTCCCACTCTTTAAGGAATCATGGGAGTCTGAAATGGTGCTACTGCATTACAGGACAGTGTAGAATAGTTTACTCTATCATTTACAATGTAACTTATTCTAGAACTGAGATCAACCTTGGAGCCCATGATGTTTTTACCCCAGAACCAGAAGCCCGGGGGGCCAAAGAAAACCTGTTCCAAGCTCTCAGCTAACAGATTCTGAATAATTTACTGACTGGACCTGATCAGAAGCTGGATAAAAAAGATGACCAGTCTAGAGAGTTTGATCATGAATCTTTCTTTGCTCTGAAATTACATGTTATGATCTTTCTACCATATAACAGGACATGGGAAAAAACCCAACAAGCAAGGTAAGCAAGTAAGTAATCAAGCAAGGTAAAAAAGTTGAGTTTCAAAGCTTTTCCTCCTTTTGGGAAACACAAGAATGAAAATACACAGGACTCAACTCAGTCTTCTGACAATGTTTAGACCACTAAGGGCCTACATTACACAGAGGGCACTCAGATGTTCTTGTTTATCAACATTAAGAAATCTAGCACCACACAGATACAAGCAAATGCTTGTTTCAGATCCTGAAGTAGCAGTGATTACCTGATATGCTTCAGGTTACAGCTTTCCTGGCTGCTCTTTCCATTTCTGTCCAAGAGTAGACTAACAGTGAAATAAGCCCTCGTATAAAATGTTCCTGTACAGGTTGCCCTCACTTTATGCTGTAGATATGTTCCTGGAAAATGGCACATAACTTGAATTCGCATAAAGGGAACCCACTCTACAATATAACAAATAGGGATATGTCCCAAGATCTTGATTATAATGACCCCCAGACCCATTTCTACCACTTCTACAAGACAATTTTGGTACTCACCAACACAGGAGTGGGCAAAATACAGCCCATGGGCTGTATCCGACCTACCAGGCCATTCTCTCTAGCCCGCTGAGCCCCTAAAAAATTTAGAAAATTAATATTTATCTGCCCCTGGCTGCCCATCAAAGATGACAGGAGCCAGAGGCAGTAGGAGCCAGGGGGAGCCAAGCAGGACTCAGTAGCAAGACCAGACCAGCCCTGCCCCGCCCCGCCCCACCACACCACCCCTAGCCCCAGCCAGAAGCTTCTGCCTAGCAGAGGCTGCTGGAGCCTTCTGGCCTGGGGGCCCCTGAGCTGCCGCTGGGAACCATGTGGTGCCAGAGGCCAACAGGCAGGGGGGAAATGGCTGCAGCAGGCTGGAGGGAAGGGGCAGTGAGCAGATGCACAGAGCACAGCAAAAGCTGGGTGGAAGCACAGGGCCCACGCTGGTGCCCCGGGGCCAGAGCTGGGAGGGCCCAGAGAGGGGTGGCAGGAGCATGGGGCTGGGGTGCCAGGGACTCTAGGAAGCCAGGCTGACTCCCTCCTCTCTTTCTGCTTGAGCAGCGCAGCCCAGCTCTGTAGAGCCAATGTCAGCCTGGACCCCAGCACTCCTGTTATCCTGCTTTGGGCCCCGCCAGCACTGGCCCCAGTGCACCGTCGTGGGTCCCGCGTTCCCATCCAGCTGTTGTTGCGTGCCGTGCACCCACTCGCTACCCCTTCCCCCCCAGCCTGCCACAACCATTTCCCCACTCCCCCGGTGCTATTATACTATCACTTCTATGTACACTACACACAAACACATGGAAATCTGGACAAAAATATTTCTTGAAATTAAATTAATGAATGTTGTAGTACGTTTTATTTTTACAATTACAATTTGGTATTTTTATGGGTCCGAGGTGGCAAACCCCCTTGCTGAAAGGAGTAATTCTGGGGGGCAAGGGAAGGGACTTCTGGTGGCAAAGGTCGGGGGTTAGGGGGCGGAACCTCTGGTCCCAAGACGGCGACCAGGGGGTAAGGCACCTGTCAAGAGGCGGAGCTACCCATGCAGCCCTCGATGGCTTGTCAAAACTCCGTAACCGGCCCTCCACAGGAAATAATTGCCCAGCCCTGTACCAACAGCAGACAGTACACACAAGCAGAACACTATCATAACGAGGATGGCAGCTCCAGAAACACATGTTGCAGACAACTAGCAAGGAGCACAGATCCACACAGGAGACTATATTTTGGTGCGCGTCACTCCCACAATGCACCACACAAAGCAGCCGACTGCAGGCTTCCACCACACTGATCGCATAAGAGTGAATCTACCTTGCATATAATTAATTTTTAGTCTTAAAAGGGTCATTGCATAAGAGCAAATTTGCACATACAGAACTTGCATAAAGCAAGGGAAACCTGTATTTTTGCAAAGTCTGGTCCACCTCAGAACAAATTAACCTGAAGTCCTGGAAGTCTGAACCAGTCTTGAATGTGCACATTCAGCATTCTGAAATGTGAGAAAGCAAGCATTTCTTATCCACAAGTGCAGTCCACAAAATGCAAAAAGCTGCACTGAGTATATCAATTCAACAGAAACTCCTGGTCACAAGGATTTTCTCAGATTCTGACTCCTCTTGAGCATCAGTTAAGAGGAGAAGGGGAAGTCTCTGGATAAGAAACAAAAATAATGGAGCTGGAAGCAAGAAAAGGTGATTAAGAAAAGAAACTGAGCAGGATTGTCCTGAGAAAGCAGCAACATAAGCTTTACTAGTCATGGGCCTGTGGTAGAAGCCGCCCCAAATAAAATAAAGTGGCTCTTCTTGCGGTTGGACTTGGTGATCTACTGAGGTCCCTTCCAACCCAAACATCTATGAAAAGGAAGACAATTCCCTCCGCATCTTCATGCTCTTCTCAACTACACCATATGGAATTCGTGTCTTTCATTAAGACTTTTTCTCCAAGAAGCAGGATTACCCACCCAGATATAGTCCTTCTGCTCTACAAGAGACACTGATAAAGCCTGGATATATACAACTATATATACACACAATATAGACAACTTGAAAGAAATTCAAGGCCTGTCGTCTCCTTTTGGCCTGTTCTCTGAAACAAACAGATAAGGCTCTGATAAGAGAGCTGAGATGGTAGCTGCTGTTTACCCAAGCTGCAAAAAGCAACTAAGGCATTTGCCTAATAGAGAACAATCAGGGACGGAACATGGAAGTCATGTATCTAAGTGTGCAGTCACCTCCCCAGATGACAACCAAAACCTGCACTGGTAGTACTCCTACTACAGTACCTCTAAATAAAAAGCCCCGTTCTAAACATGTAACAAGCTTCAATCATGCATAGTTTTTTTAATTCACACAGAAAACCCGATTCCACATGCATCCCCCCTCTCCAAGTTCAACAGGAAATGGAGGAAAAACAAAAAGAGGTGAGTGGGTGGGTTATGATAGACAATATAAAGAATTCCCTTACCACTCTGATGAGGGAACTCAGAACAGCAAGATCATCACAGGATTCTTAGCAAGCTAATGCAAACCATGCTGACATACCACTTTGTTCCACCCCCATATTCGCCTTCAGACATTTCTAGCAGGTCAATTTAGAAGAATTAAGTCTTGTTCAGTTAAAATGTCTGATGGCTGTTGCTAGTGGAAACAAAACTATGACTATCTACAACACATTAGCAACCAGCTACAAAGAGTTATGTAAGAACAGATTGGCAAACTGCACTTGCTTGTTCAATCTTTCCTAATAAATCAGATGTGTGTTATATGAAACCTTGTGTTCTGTTACATTTATTCTAAAGCAGGCATGATGTGATTAATGAACATATAAATTAAACTGCAATTCTAGAAGTCTTACCTCAACATGCAAACAGGAAGTGCTGTTGC